ACTGAGCCAAACTGGCTTTGGCTGTATGGTTCCATTTATATGTAGGTGTACAACAGGCTAATCCATGGTGAAAAAATCTATGGTGGACCATGGGGAGACGTAATGAGGACTGACTGGGAAGGGGCATTTGGAACTCTCTGCAGTAATGGCAGTATTCTATATCCTGTGGGCAAGTTACATATAGCGTGTAGGCCAAATCTGGTACACCATATGTTTTTGTGAATAAAATTGTACTGGAACATGGCCATGCGTGTTCTTCTGCATTATTGTCTGTGGATGTTTTCTTGCATGCAATATGAATGTTGACTTGTTGCAACAGAGACTCAATAGCCCACAAAGGTTAGAATAGTCACTATCTAGAACTTTACAGAAGAGGTTTGCCGCCCAAGCCAGTTTGGCCCAGTGGATAGAGCTTTGGAATGAAGGGCCTGGGTTTGATTCTGGTCAAGGACACATACCTCAGTTGCAAGCTCAATCCAGGTTCTGGTCAGGGCATATGCAGAAGGCAACCAATTGATGTTTCTGTGTCTCTCCCTCTCTTTTCTACTCTCTCTAAAAATCAATGGAAAATATCCTCGGGTGAGGCTTAACAACAACAACAAAAAAAAGTTTGCCAACATCTGTTCTATATTTTGATAATGGCTTAGGTTAAAAAGGTGTCAAAACTCACTGAATTAGCTCTAACTGCTTTGGCTCAGTGGTAAAGCATCGACTATGAACCAGAAGGTCAAGGTTCAATTCCTCCTCCATGCAGGAGGCAGCCAATCAACGATTCTCTCTCTTCATTGATGTTTCTAGCTCCCTCTCCCTCTCCCTTCCTCTCTGAAATCAATAAAAATTATTTTTTAAAAACTTAGCCCTAGCCAGTTGCTCAGTGGTTAGTGCATTGGCCTGTGAACTAAAGGGTCCCAGATTCAATTCCAGTCAGGGGCACGTACCTTGGCTGCAAGTGCAATCCGTAGCCCTGGATGAGGCATGTGCAGGAGGCAACCAATCAATGTGTTTCTCTCACATCGATGTTTGTCTCTGTCTCTGTCTCTCTCTCTCCATTCCACTCTCTCTAAAAATCAATGGGAAAATATCCTTGGGTGAGGATTAACAACAAAAAAAGAGATTGTCATGTATGCCAGCAATTTTGAACCAGTCTGGTGTGCACAAGAATTTTTAAATCATGCAATACCTGACTGTTTAGTCAGGGACACTGAACTCTTTTCCCATAGATTGTCAAATTAAAAAAATGATAACAGCTAACATAACAATAGCCATCCAATGTGAACAAATAAAAATTATATCTACTTTTTGACAGATTGTAAAAAAAATACATTTTTGTTGTGCCGCAGAATTTTAGTAATTAGTTTTTATGTGCCATGAGAGGAAAAAGGTTTATGCCCTTGATAAAGAGAATTTTATAAAACACATAATACTTGAGATAATAGCTCTTTGGTACAGTAATATATCATAATTAGAAAACCCTTACAGTGCAGTGTACATTTAATCTAAAAAGCTCAAAGCATTTTTATTAGCCAAACTCAACAAATTTAGGGAAGTTAGAGATATCGAATGCGGAACCGAAGAATAAGAAAAGAATAAACTGGATTCTCAGTTCCTTCCTTCAATGATTTCAATCAACCCCTGCATTAAGTAAATCTCACTGAAGTCATCATACCCCTTTTCTCCTTTCCAGTACAAAAGACAGCTATCCTACAAAGAGGCTGAATGGTGTTATAATTAAAGGCTCAGCCTCTGCAGCCAGGAAATTGGGGTTTAAACCCTAGCTCTCCTGTATGTCATTGGGAAAGTAACTCAAACTCCTGAGCCTCAGTTTTCTCACTGTAGAATGGGCGTAATGACAGCTACTCTTCATAGGGTTGTTATGAGGACAGTATATGTTAGGCTGTTAGAAAACAGCATTTGGCACCTAGGAATCACTTAATGGTGATCGTTAGTATCCTCTCTAATAAAAGAGAAACATTCAAATGGACCGTACCTTCACTACACCCACAAACTGCGCCCACCGACCAATCAGGGCAAGTATGCAATTTATCCCAACAAAGTCGGCGGTTAATTTGCATATCCAGGCCAGAGGGAAGGTGTAGAAGGAAGCCAAGAGCTGCAGAAGGAAGCGAAGCTGGGGAGAAGCAAGCAAGTGTGGCTGCGGAGAAGGGAGGGGCAGCGGAGACGGCGGCAGGAAGCCCTGTTGCAGGAATCTTCCTGCAAGGGGCCTCTAGTCCTTTCATAAAGGTAATGCTTTATAATAAATGTAGAACAATTAAGTAGGCTCCTAACATTTTAGGACTAACAACTACACTGGCCTCCTTGCCTCCTCCAATGTCACCTTCTCAATGAGTCTTACCCTGATCGCGACCTTACTGAAAAGGTGCAACCCACTTTCCTCCTTACCCTGCTCTCAATTTTCCCCCCGATCTCTTTGTTCTGTATTACATAATTTACTTTTTGTGATGGTAATTGAGTCTTCCTTCGATTAGGCAACAAAATGCAGTGACAGAACGCACTTTTGTTTTTTATTTATTATTATTTTTAAAAATATATTTTATTGATTTTTCACAGAGAGGAAGAGAGAGGGATAGAGAGTCAGAAACATCGATGAGAGAGAATTATTGATCAGCTGCCTCCTGCACACTCTCCACCAGGGATGTGCCCACAACCGAGGCACATGCCCTTGCCCGGAATCGAACCCGGGACCCTTCAGTCCACAGGCCGACGCTCTATCCACTGAGCCAAACCGGTCCCGGCGCACTTTTGTTTTTTATTAACTGACATGGCCCAAGCTGGTGCTCAGGTGATTGTTGTTATCATCATCGGGTCTCATCCCTTCATTTGACAGATAAGGAAAACCCAGAGAGACTTGGTTCGAGGCCACTCAGTAAGGAAAAGAGCCAAAGCAGGCACTGTAACTCCCAGTTCAGTGCCATTTCTACAACAGCTCGCTATCTCTCTGACCCTGGAACATTACAGGGAAATCACAATCATCCACTATCTTCTCCCGGGAGGATTTACCTTTGGAAATTCTTGGCTTTGCAAATGCTGCTGTGTCTGTAGCAGGAAAATGCTCTGAAAGGCAGTGGGAGCCTGACCTGGGAGACCAGGTGTTGATAGACGAACAGAAGAAGATGGTTGATTTGGAAGGGCTATCCCAGCACTCTGATAGAGGGTCTGCTGTTGCAATTGTGGTTCTGATGACCCAGAAACAAGTGCTGGGCCAGAAGCTGGCTGCCACTGTGGCTGGACAGCAGGCCACTGCCAAGTCCATGCCGGCTGCTGCCGTGCTAGGTGTTTCTGAGGGGAAAAGTCTAACTGCTGTCTAATGCTGGAAGCACTTAAGGCTGCTCTAAAGGTTGTATTACATGTTGTCCTATTGCTGTCTTAAATAGGCTGTGTTCAGATGTCTGTGCTACATAAGGTGGTGCTGAGTACAACGTCTGACCTGCAGAGTTTGTAATGTGTTTTCTTGCTATTAGAAGGGTTTACAGTGTATACATGCTGGGTTATAAAGGTTGCCTGTTAAGTTGTCTGCACGGTGTAATAAGTTTGTCTTGAATAAGGGGCATGCTATAGAGACAGTGCCTGGTAAGGGGGCTGTTCCAGAGGTTGCATGGGGTAAGCTGCTTGGATCCTATATGCTCCCTAGTCTGGAGAAGGTGACTGAACTGGAAGTTGCACTGGAGAAGCAGGCTTCCCTTGGCCTGGGCTGAATGAGAGGGTTGTACCAGTGGGGGAGAATAGATAAGAAGGCCGCAAAGAATGAGCTGGCTGTGATCCCCATGGCTGCACAGTGTAAAGAGGATGATCTCTGGGTGGCAGTATATCAACAGGCTGTGCCGGAGCCTGGATTGGGGAGGCTGACTATGATGAGCTTGTTCCTGGGGATGTAACCCAAAGAGCAGCTGCCCAGGAGCTTTCAAGGGAAGAAGGATGATGCCAAAACCAGTTTGGCTCAGTGGATAGAGCGTCAGCCTGCAGACTGAAAGGTCCCAGGTTCGATTCCGGTCAGGGGCATGTAGCTTGGTTGCGGGCACATCCCCAGTAGGGGGTGTGCAAGAGGCAGCTGATCGATGATTCTCTCTCATCGATGTTTCTAACTCTCTGTCCCTCTCTCTTTCTCTCTGTACAAAATCAATAAAATATATATTAAAAAGGGGGGGGGGGAAGAAGGATGGAAGTTCTGCGATGGTCCTGGATAAGCGGGTTGTACAGAATAAGATGGCTGTTCCAGAGGCTGAATCACGCTTTCAATACCACCCTTTGGCTGCCACTGAGTTGCATGAGCTTCAGACTCTTGCAGAATATAACCCTGATGAACATTTTTCTGTGGTGATGCCATAATCTTAGGTTGTCAAGTTAATGGCTGCTGCTGAATACAGGCTTGGAAACAAGGCTTCTCCAAATGCATAATCTGATTTTGTGGCACTGAAGAACCTGGAGTTAGAGACTCCTGATGTGCCACTGGGTATGACTGGCATACTCAGTGTGTCTTTTGTGAAGCCTGATGGGCCGCTGATGGCCTTTAATGGAACTAGAAGGGAGCTGTGCTGTACTCACATACTGAGCAGAAGAATGGCTTAACAAAGCCTCAGGGTGGTTTCTTTTCCAAGTACATGAGTGGTGTCTCTAGATTCTCGTTATACAATGTTAGTTTAGATGCATCCTCAAGAAGAATGTCACAGGTGAAGGAAAGCAGAACCTTTCGGCTTTCAGTGACTTTTATAAAAACCACGAGAGGCCCAGTGCACAGGTAGGGTCCCTAGGCATGGTCAGCAATCAGGGCCAATTAGGGCCTTCATTCTCGCCGCCCCCTGGTGGTCAGCACATATCATAGCGAGCGATTGGTCTCCCAGTGGAACTTCCGCAGGGACAATTTGCATTTAGGCTTTTATATAGAGAGATGATGAGTTTATGAAAGAGAGCCTTTGCCTAGCAGAAAAATCTAGGCAGTGTTAGATATGCTTAACTGAATACAGGGCTTCTAAAATGTATCTTACCTTTGTCTGTGAGACCTTCTGGACAGTTAATGGGGATACCAGGGGTTGTGAGACTGGTGGTCCAAGGACATGTACAGGCAAAACAGTGGACTGACCTTGAGCCAAAGGCAAAATTTGGGGCTGAGTCAGCTGTGGCTGCGTCTGTAACAGTCAAATAAGAAAAACACACACACACACACTGATTAAAGATAATCCCTCCCATTTACAGTAAATATACTGATTATATATTTAAAAATATAACAGCTCATCTCACCCCTGAAATCTGCTGGTAATGTCCTACTAGCTGCTGGGGTGGATAAATCGTCCCTGGAACATTCATTTCGGCCTGTGAGATGTTAGAAATCATTTGAGAGCCCATCATCTGCTCGGAGGAATAGCCTGTGCTGGGCTGACTTGCATCTGAGTGTGGAACTGATCCAGCTCCAGCCTCGGATAAACTGTCACCTAGAACAAAGAAAATAAGCAACAGGTAGAAGTGAAAACTTGAAGCACCAGGTCCAAATGGCATAGGAAATGGTGTTTCTCTCATTTTGTTTTTTACGCTGACAACCTGAGACAGCTTCAAATAAAATATGCACAATGCAGAATTAATCAAAAACCCTCGGTGTGAACACTCTGTGCTGACATGGTAGAATGGCAAAATTTTTCTTAGTAAAGCAAAAGCTAAAAACAAATTATCACATAAAAAAACCAAATCCATTTGCTGGCCATTTCATGTATATCCCTAACTAGCCTACACTTTTCAATAGGGTTTCAGTGAAATCTAAATGTCATATTCTTTTTTATTCTCCTAGAACTTAGCTAGAGAATAATACTGTCATTATACAACAATTAGCTATTACTATGAAAATGCTGTGTCCTTCTAGAAAACAGAATGCATTACAATGGAAAACTTAAGAGGCACTGTGTTAATTTTATACTTGAGTAAAAATATAAAGAGTCTTAAAGTATAGAAAATTCCTTTTTAAAGAAAAAATCATACTCTTCAATTCCTAGTTTTTTATATTAAAGGACTTATTTTAGTCCCCTAAAATAGTAGAAAGATTGTAATCCTTATGCCACTACCATGTTTCCCCGAAAATAATACATCCTCCGAAAATAAGACCTACTTACAGGTTTCCTTCTGAGTGAAATATAAGGCATCCCCTGAAAATAAGGCCCCCCCCCCTAGGCTCTGTCTCAGAATGCTATTACTAAACATGAGAGATTTGGTCCACTGATTCTGAAAGAAATGGAGTCACAAGAAATTCACCAGGAAATTTAGGAACTGGATTGTTATGATGATGTTCCAGAAGATGATGACATGATTGTCATTGAATAAATGAGTAAATTCTTTTTTTAAAAATATATTTTTATTGATTTTTCCACAGAGAGGAAGGGAGAGGGATAGACAGCTAGAAACGTCGATGGGAGAGAAACATCGACCAGCTGCCTCCTGCACACCCCATATCGGGGATGTGCCCGCAACCAATGTACATGCCCTTGACCGGAATTGAACCTGGGACCTTTCAGTCTGCAGACCGACGCTCTATCACTGAGCCAAACCGGTTTTGGCTAAATGAGTAAATTCTTGATACTGTAGGATTCACAGTTTGTCTGGTTTGTGCTGACAACTACTGTACTACCGTACCGTATACAGGTAAATTTCCTTTATTTTCGTTTAACAATAAATGTGCACTGTATTCTTCTTCATGGAAAAATAAGACATCCTCTGAAAATAAGACCTAGCGCATCTTTGGGAGCAAAAATTAATATAAGACACTGTCTTATTTTCGGGGAAACAGAGTAGTACCTTGGGCAAGTCCTGTAACAGAACAGATTCAAATAAAACTAGCTGGCTTATCTATTTCAGGGAATTTGTAAAAGGACTGATAAAATGATAGATAACAATACTTGGAAAAATAAAAAAAAAATTGTATCTAAAGATAAGGGAATATAATTACACATTTGTTTGCTTTTATTTTTTTTACTTTTTTTTTTAAGGAAGAGGAAGAGAAACATCAATGTAAACATAACATCAATCGGCTACTTCCTGCACACCCCCTACCAGGGATCCAGCCCGTAACCCAGGTTTGTGTCCTGACTGGGAATCGAACCAGCAACCTTTCTATGCACGAGACGAGGCCAAAACAACTGAGCCACACCAGCCAGGCATTGCTTATTTGTAAAAGTCATAAGGACGTTACCTGTAACAGAGGAGCAATGCTGCTGCAGTTGTCTTTGTAGAAGCTGCTGTCGAACTTGTTGATCGGCTTCAGTGTCTTCACATTCGGTGGCAGTGGGCGGAGCAGGAGCAGAGGGCAAAGTTGGATTCGGGGGTGGAGGGAGAGTGCTCCCCACGGACTTGCATTGCGAATCCCTGCGTTCTTCCGAAGAGCTGGCTGGCTTCTTCTCTCTCGTTTTCTTTATCAGGGTCACCCGGTCTCTGATGGACTTCGCGACAGCTTTGGAATCACTTTCATGGAAGAATCCGGACTTGACCTACAAACAAAACATAAACAGCAAACTGTGTCTTTAATGTTTAACCCTGCGGATCGATGATGGGGTGACGGGATGTTGCAGCAAGATCTGCCCTCACATCCAACATTGAAGATTTTAACCTTTAAAAAAACACACACACAAAAAAAACAACAACACTGGAGTTATTTAGTGCCCCCAAATCCCAAATGCTATTAAATAACAGTTTCTATGTTCTTTCTTAATTAGACGTAGGTAAATGTCAGTCTTTAATCAACATGAGGAAAACAATACTATCACCAAGCATTGTTCAAAGAATTCTGGTCTTAAATCAAACAAGCAAATAACTTGATGTTTCGGTACATGCAGTCTTATTACAGGGCATTTATGACTGCCCTGTTTTGTGACATTAAAAGGGTTTGCACAATCAGCAACATTAAGTGCCTACAATGGGCTCTAGAGGCAGAGCGGTGATTAAGTTGGCCCTTTGTCCTATATGAGCACACGATCTGGTGCTGAGGGACGGATACAAACTTAAAAGGAAATAAGAGGCAGGAACGAGCAGCTGTAAAAGCCCTAAAAGAGCACCTGCCTATCGGGAGGAAGCAGAGAAAGTGTCACAGAAGATAAACTCTGACCTGGATTAAAACAAACAAACAAAAGAGGAACTTGGCAGGCTATTGAGTGTAGATGACGTTTGCAGATCCACACTCCAGGCAGGGGGAGGTATGCTAACAGCAAAGTACAACTGCTCCCTAGGTGTTAGAGGAGTGAGGAGAAGTTAAGGGCTTGTCTGAGAGGAGTGGGGCTGAGGAGCAGAAAAGACCTGGGGAGGGGCTATGGCCTGCCATTCTCAGTCCTGCTATCTGCATTTTAAAATATATTTTACTGATTTTTTACAGGGAGGAAGAGAGAAGGATAGAGAGTTAGAAACATCGATGAGAGAGAGTCATCGATCAGCTGCCTCTTGCACACCCCCTACTGGGGATGTGCCCGCAACTAAGGTACATGCCCTTGACCGGAATCGAACCCGGGACCCTTCAGTCCTCGGGCTGTCGCTCTATCCACTGAGCCAAACCAGTTTTGGCTGCTATCTGCATTTTAGAGTATGTCTTGGGAGTCTGCAGACTTGGGGGAATTTCATGATAGTTGAAAATGATTAAAATGTGAGACGGAGTCCATATAGTTATTGATTTAAAAATATATTTTATTGATTTTTTACAGAGAGGGAGAGGGAAAGAGTGTTAGAAACATCAATGAGAGAGAAACATAGATCAGCTGCCTCTTGCACACCTCCAAATGGGGATGTGCCCGCAACCAAGGCACATGCCCTGGACCGGAATCCAACTAGGGACCTTTCAGTCCACTGAGCCAAGCGGGTTAGGGCAGGAGTCCATATATTTAAGTTCACTCCCTTGAAAGCTAAAAGAACACCCAAACAAACCCCATAGGAAATGGATTTTTAAGTTATAAGCCCACAAGGAGAGGGAGAATAAGAGAAAGACAAATGCAACAATAGTTGGGAGTCTTTTGAATATGGAAAACAAATAGATAATAATTGACTTAGCAAACCTCAAAAAGGTAAACTAGAGATAGCTGAGACTCATTCCCATTCACACTCAACACTACTCACAAGGTGCAGGGACCGGTAGTACCAGGTACTTCCCAAACTGGGTAAAATCCAAAGAGACGACTAAAATAAGGAAGCTAAGGAAAAGGGTTTTGAGAAGCAGATATGTAAGATCCTGTACCCTGCCCTCCATGCCATACTTTTCAATGACTGCTTCTCCCCTACCCACGGAGTCTACAGTTTAGTTCTCTGGACTATGGAATACCAGGCACAGTTGAGGATATGGCTTATAAAAAAAATTAAGTGATTATATGCATGCCAAATGCCATATGCAGAAACTTCCAGTCCTCTTCCCCACTTGGCTACCAAAACGCCAGTAACCAGACCCTTACCTTCCAGGAAGGACATTGAAAGGTTCCTCTCTAGGGAATCTGACCAATCCAAGAAGAAGAACCTACAAATATTGATGTCAGAGGTTCCCCAATTAACGGCCCACCCAGATACCTGGTGGTAGAGGTCAAGGTTAATAAGTCTGACACACGCAATCGTACGATGTGATCAGCTTGTCAGTCTCTGTGGTTGGCAAAATGATGGCCACAGAGACTGGCAAAATGATGTCACATCCTGATCCTCAAACCTGAGCGTATGAGATGTCACTGTGCTACGCACAGTTGACATGAAGGAAGGGAGATGATGTAGTTGAGCCTTTTACCAGCTGGTGACACTAGAAGGATCTAACTTAAAGAAATGGGGACGGGTGAAGGGACTGTTAAGAACGGAACGTGGCCCCTGACTAACAGCCAGCGAGGAAATGGGGACCTTGGTCTTAAAGCTGCACAGCATCACATTCTGCCAACAACCTGGATGAGCCTGGAAGTAGATTCTTTCCCAGAGCCTCCACATAAGCGCCTTGGTGGCCAACGCCTTGACTTCAGCCTGGGAAACCCCACGCAGAGGATCCAGTGAAGCCCACGAGGACTTCTGACCTACAGAACTGAGATCAATGAGTATTGTTTTCAGCCACTAAGACGTTGGTGATCATTTGTCACACAGCAACAGAAAACTCATACACTCTCCCACTATTAATCATAAACAGCCGGCCAAGAATTACCAGAAATATGAGAAAAGCCTCTAACAAGAAGATGGAGCACAAAACTAACAAAGGAAAAAAAAAAAAAAAAAGAACAACCCAGCAAATTGGAGTAAAGAGACTATGCAGGGAGAAAAAAATATCAAAAGCACTGCATTTGCTAAGGTTACAGAAAGATGCGATAATATTGCATCAACACAACAAAGAACGTGATTTTTACTCTAAAAAAGAAACAGACCAAAGTATAAAGGAACTCTTAAAATTAAAAACATGATAGCAGAAATGAAAAAACACAATGGAAAGGTTAGAAGATAAAGTTGATAATAACTGCCAGAAAGGAGAATAAAAAGACAAAAAGATAGAACATAAAAAAGATAAGAAAATTGGAGAAACAGTTCAAGAGGTCTTACGTCCAAATCATAACAGTTCCAGAAAGAGGAAAACAAGGGGGAAGAACTCGTCAGTAAAATACTTCAGGAAACCTTCCAGAAACTAAAGGGTATGAGCTGACCCTAGCCAGTTTGGCTCAGTGGATAGAGTGTAGGACCTCAGACTGCAGGGTCCCAGGTTTGATTCCGGTCAAGGGCATACACCTCTGTTGCAGGCTTGATCCTCAGCCCTGGTCAGGGAGCATGCAGGAGGCAATCAATCGATGTGTCTCTCTCACATCGGTGTTTTTTTCTCTGTCTCTCCCCCTCCCTTCCACTCTCTCTAAAAACTGATGGAAAAACATCCTCAGGTGGGGGTTAACAATAAATAAGTTTTAAAATAAATAAATAAAGGTTCTGAGTTGACAGATTGAGAGGGTCCACTGAGTATCCAAGGCAGTAAATGAAAATAGACCCAAATCAAGACGTAATTGTGAAATTTTAGAATCCTGAGAAGAATGCCAAGATATTACAAATTTCCAAAGAGGAAAAATGGATCACATGCAAAAGATCCAGAAAACAGAACAACTTTGCACTTCTCAATATCAATCTGGAAAGCTAGAAAAGCAATGACTCTAATTTTTAAAAAATATATTTTATTGATTTTTTACAGAGAGGAAGGGAGAGGGATAGGGAGTTAGAAACATCGTTGAGAGAATCATCAATCAGCTCCCTCTTGCACACCCTCTACTGGGGATGTACCCGCAAGCAACATACATGCCCTTGACCGGAATCGAACTAGGGACCCTTCAGTCCACAGCCCGATGCTCTATCCACTGAGCCAAACCAGTTAGGATGACTCTTAATTTTTTTAACTGCCAATCTAAAATGCCTTAGCCAGCCAAATAACCGGTTAAATATGAAGATAGGAAAAAAAGAATTTACCTCCCATGTACCTTTTCTGAAGACGCTAACAGAGGAAGTATGAAACCATAGCAAAAGAGTAAGCCATGGGAGAGAAAGGTGTGCGATTCGGGAACATGAAGTCCAATACAGGAGAGAGGCAGGGAAGTCTATGAGGGCAGTGAAGGGAGATGCCAGGATGAGAGCTGCGCACCAGATGTTCAAGGCAGTCACTCCAGATTAAAGTGTGACTAGAAAGACAGAACTGTCGTCTCCAAGATCTCCACCATCACTGTCCCATTCATTCTTCTTCTTCTTTTTTTAGTTAATCCTTAACAGAGGATATTTTTTTCCTTTGATTAGAATAGAGAATGGAAGGGAGGAGAAGAGACAGAGAGAAACATCGATGTGAGAAAGACACATCGATTGGTTGCCTCCAACACACACCCTGACTGTGGCCAGTGATCAAGCCTGAAACTGAGTGAGGTATGTGTGTGTGTGCCCTTGACCAGAAGGGGCTGATGCTCTAACCATTGAGAAACCGGCTAGAGTTCATTCATCTTTTTAACCTGAGAACAGAATGTCCAGATGAGCCTGCTTCCCAGTATCTGTACTTCACTAACCTTGACCACGTGCTGCTGAATGAAGCTCCTGCAAACCCTCCCTCCAAACACTGCAATAGCCCCACTAATGCACTGACTGCGGGGAGCCACATGTTTAGTTCCCTGGAATCTCGCGTGACCTCACCCCCTAACTTCCCAGAAGTCTTGTAAATGAGAAGCTGAAGCCAGACAATGACTGAGGGGTTCTGTTCACTCTCCTCTCCTGAGCAGCTTTACCTAGGAGTCACTTCAGTAACCAGCGGGGGTGGGGTGGGGGGTGTGTGTGTGCTTGCCACTCGAGTTTTCAAAACAAAACCATGTGTTACTTAGGTAAACTACAATGAAAAGCAAAGGAATGAACAGCGCAAAAGTCAGAAGAGATATTGCTGGTGGTGATGAGCGAGGGAGATGCAACCTGGAGGGCACACAGATGGCTTGTAACATACCAATTGCACTCTGTTTCTTAACAAAGGTAGTGTATTATCAGTCTTTATGCTGTATGGGCAAATTTAATATACTCTGCTGTAGCAATGCATTTCATAGTACAATACCCATTTAAACAAAGAAAAGGAGAAAATGAAAAAAAAGTAATGTGAAAGGAAATCAATGCTGATACTTCTAAAGGGGTGGGGGATAGATAGCAGTAGAATTCACTTACCATTTCATAGGCTACTTCCTCAGGGGTATCTTTTTCTAAATTGAAACTGAATTCAATAGCTTCATTGTCTTTGTGCTTGCCTTTCAACTTTTTAGGGTCTTCAACCCAGAGCCGTAAAGCCAGAGACGAATTTGAGGAATCATCCTCCTCTGCTAACTCCACCCTCAGTCCTGTATCCTCAGCAAAAAATGCGTGGTTTAGTAGGTTCTTGATGGACAACCTAATGAATGAAATGCATAGCTCATTAGCAATTCTTCCAATCATAAACAACATATAGGACCTTTCAAACTGATTGTTTCAAAGTAACGCTCTATATTAAAATTTCTATTAATTAAACTATTAATCTGCCTCGTCATAAAAACAAAAGATTTTCTCTAACTTATTATTACCAAGGATGCAAAAAAAATTCCAACTAACATGCATCTGTAGGGGCCTTAATTAAAGATTATTACTAGCAACATATCTAGATACTGAAGTTTTACATACCTAGAAGTAGGCCTTAAAGAAAGCTGGAAACTGAATCGTGGAGGGAGGGGGAGGGGGAGGTAATCAGCCAAGGACCATGGATGCATTTAGCATGACCCAAGGACACAGACAACTGGGCGGTGATGGCCTAGGACAGGAGGTGGTGGGCTGGAGGGGGTGAATGGCGGAAAAGGGGGCATATGTAGTACTTTCAACAATAAGGAATTATTAAAAGAGACAGAGAGATATTTAGAGAAGTGCTGCAATTCATGTTACGGGAATTGAGTAGTTTCCCTAAACCACTGGCTTAGGTTATTAAAACACATTGTAGACGGATCATGTGAATTCTCCTGTTTTCATAATAGATGGTGTTTTATAAAGTATCATACTTTAAAAAGATAGCCCTAGCTGGTTTGGCTCAATGGATAGAGCATCAGCCTGAGGACCAAGTTTGATTCCGGCCAAGGGCACATGCCTGGGTTGCAGGCTCGATCCCAGGTAGGGGGTGTGCAGGAAGCAGTCAATCAATGATTCTCTCTCATCACTGATGTTTTTATCTCTCTCTCCCTCTCCCTTTCTCTCTAAAAATCAATAAAATATATTTTAAAATAATAAAAAATAAAAAGATAGTATCTTGTAAGAACGTGTAATAAATAACTTCAAAATGCAATGGGTATTTAATTTCAAGGCGTACCTGTAACACTGATGTAAAACGTTTTTTGTACTCATTCAACAGAAACTTATCTGGCCACGGGGTAAAGCTAGCAATAAAACTACTGGCGCAAATTTTTTAAGACTCAAACAACAGATTGTCTGCCAAGGAAATGAAAAACTCTTCCAGACATGTAAACTCTAAAGTAAATGAGAAGTTCAAATTCTTTGCAAATGTTATAAATAGAACTCATAGCCTTGGCCAGTGTGGCAACAAAAGATTCCTGGTCAGGGCACATCCTTGGTTACGGGCTTGATCCCCAGTAGGGGTCATACAGGAGGCAGCCAATCAATGATTCTCTCTCATCATCGATGTTTCTATCTCTCTCTCTCTCCCTCTTATGTTCTCACTCTCTAAAATCAATAAGAACATAAAAAAAAAAATAGAACTCATAGGCTTCATTAGCCATAATCAGTGTATGTCACGCTTTAGAGCATGCCACAGGTGAAGCTAATTTATAATTTAGTTCAGCAAAGTCCCATGGTTTCCTTGAAGTATTTATGTCTAGTGTTTTAGGCCAAAGTATACATACAATGGATACAAGACTAGCCCAATATCAGGGATTAACCATCTTTGAAGAAAAAAAAAAGTACAGTGGTTCTAAAAATTCTTTTACAAGCTGGGGAGTTAATTTCCTTTCCTTTGATCAATTTCCAAAATAGATATGTAATATCTAGACTATCTGTATTACAGGCCAGGGAGCACTAAAATTGATGTGTTCCATAATGTCTACATAGAAAAGCCTCTGCTGTGCTATTTAAAACAGATAAAGCATATTGACAAAGCATTATCCTATAAATTAAGGACTTAAACCCTCTACATATTTAGTGATCAAAAGACAAATAATCCTTAATCAATAAAGAAAAAGAAAAAAAAAGACAAATACTTAACTAAGGCAGTGATATAAAAATAATAATCTTCCTCAGACTAATTAGTTTTAAGGTTAAGGAGAAATGTGTGTTAAGAAAGCACAACCAAGTTAAAACCTCTGCCTTCAATGGAAAATTTGCCCATTTGATTAAGAATAATTATAGCAATCGCAGAAGAAACCATTCATTAAATACATATCACTGTTAGGTATTTTATATGCATTCATTATCTTTTTAATCATCAAAACAATGCCTGTTTTGAGTAACAGTTAAATCAGTATCGCACCGATTGAGTGAGTCCGGATTTGAATTTTAGTCTCAAACTGAAGCCTGTGCTCTTTCCAATAAACTGATATGCCATGAATCCTTTTGAATATTCCACTGTTCGTAATAAATCGTAATTAAAATGCTGTACAGACAATAATCGGAATCCAAACTAAAATGGATACTTCAACATAGTGTTTTTAGCCTTGCTTAAAAAGAGCAAGGCTAAACTCCTACAACTCAAAAAGAACAAAAATAGACAACTCAATTTTAAAAAGGGCAAAGGACTTGAATAGATAATTTTCCAAAGATATGCAAATGACCAATAAGCACATGAAAACATACTCAGCATCATTAGTCATTAGGAAAATGCAAATAAAAACCACAATAAAATACCACTTCACACCCACTAGGATGGCTATTTAAAAAATCATAGAGCCAAAGCCGGTTTGGCTCAGTGGATAGAGCGTTGGCCTGTAGACTGAAAGGTCCCGGGTTCGATTCCGGTCTAGGGCATGTACCTTGGTTGCGGGCACATCCCCAGTAGGGGGTGTGCAAGAGGCAGCTGATTGATGATTCTCTCTTATCAGTGTTTCTGACTCTATCCCTCTCTCTTCCTCTCTGTGAAAAATTAATAAAATATATATTTTTTAGAAATCATAGAAACAAATATACAAACAAACAAACAGAAAATAACAAGGGTTGGTGAGGATGTTGAGAAGTTATGACCTTCCTACATTGCTGTAGGGAATGCAAAATGGTGCAGCCACTGTGGAAAACAGTTGGGTGGTTCTTCAAAAAATTAAATGTAGCCCTAGCTGGTTTGGCTCAGTGGTAGAGCGTCGGTCTGCGGACTGAAAGGTCCCAGGTTCGATTCCGGTCAAGGGCATGTACATTGGTTGTGGGCACATCTCTGCTAGGGGGTGTGCAAGAGGCAGCTGGTTGATGTTTCTCTCTCATCGACGTTTCTAGCTCTCTTATCCCTCTCTCCTCCTCTCTGCAAAAAAAAATAAATAAATAAAAATAAATAAATAAATAAATAAATAAATAAATGTAGCCCTAGCTGGTTTGGCTCAGGGAATAGAGCATCGGCCTGTGGACTAAAGGTTCGATTCCAGCCAAGGGCACATAGCTGGGTTTCGGGCTCTATTCCCCCAAAGTAGGGGGCGGGCAGGAGGCAGCCAATCAATAATTCTCTCTCATCATTGATGTTTATATCTCTCTATCCCTCTCTTCCTCTCTGAAATCAATAAATATTTTTTAAATTAAATGTTATATTACCATATCATCCAGTAATTCCATTCCTAGGTTTATACTGAAAAGAATTGAAAGCAGAGATTCAAGCAAATATTTGTATGCCAATTTTCATGAAGTAATCATAACAGACAAAATATAGAAATAACTCGTGTCCATCAGCAGATACATGAATAAACAAAATGTAGCATGTTTATGTGTGTATATATATGCCTATGTGTTATAATATCATTCAGCCTTAAAAAGGAAATTCTGATACATACTACAACTTGAAAACTACGCTAAGTGAAATAAGCCAGAAACAAAAAGAGAAATATTGTATGATTTCATTTATATGAGGTAACTAGAATAAGCAAATTCATAGAGATAGAGAGTAGAAGAGAGGTTACAAAGGGTTGAAGGAAAAAGGAATTAGGAGTTATTTAATGGGTACAGAGCTTCTGTTGGGTTGCTGAAAAAGTTCTGGAAATAGTGGTGATGGTTGTACAATGTGAATGTACTTAATGCCACTGAATTATAACACACAAAAAGGACTAAAATAGTGAACGTTACGCTATATAAATTTTACCATAATGAAAACAAATGCATACCTAGATATGGCTTGTTGGTACAAACACAAAGATTATTCTGTAATAAAGCTATAATTACACAGGCCTTACCTTATTGGCTTTATGCACTCTCAGATATGCAACACTAATTTTAGATGGAAAAGTAATAAAAGTAGGCAAGTCAATTAAATGCTGGTGGAAATAATTTCTATAAATAACCTGTCACTTTTTAAAAAATAGATTTTTATTGATTTCAGAGAGGAAGGGAGAGAGAGAGAAACATCAATGATTAGGGAAAATCATTGATTGGCTGCTTCCTGCATGGCCCCATTGGGGATTGAGCCCACAACCTGGGCATGTGTCTTGACCAGGAATTGAACCATGATCTCCTGGTTCATAGGTTTATGCTCAACTACTGAACCACACCAGCTAGGGCAGGACCTGTTATCTTTATTAACCATAATCAATAAGGAGGTAAAAATCAAATGACTAATTTTTCAATTTAAGTCAGCAACTGTCTAAAGCTCAAATGAAAGGGAAATATAAGCTAAAACTAAAGGGTGTTGTCCACAAGAAAAACAGAAACTGTGATAGAAATAATCTAGAATACCAATTCTTGAACAAAAACAGCCCTAACAACTTTACTATATATATATATATATATATATATATGGCTAAGTGCCCCTCTGACCATCCAATCAGCTGCTATGATGTGCACTGACCACCAGGGGGCAGACACTCTACATAAGAGCTGTCGTGAAGCACTGGCCATTTACAAAGAAATGGCACCGTGGACTTGGTGCCCGACAAAGCAACACTCAGCTTCCCCTAAGTGGGACCTCTAGAGGCCCTGCTATCACCATAGAGCAACAGCCCACCAAATGGCAAAAACGCTGCCAAGAACCCATGGTGCTTGCAGCCCACAGCCCAGCCCAGCCCAGCCCAGAAACGGCTGCTGTGGGCATGGGATAATGTCAGGTAGCAATACCCAGCTTCCTCTCGCAACTGACTAGCAGTTTCTTCAGCCCAGGAACATGACTTGCATTTTAGCCAGGTGCAAACATTTTACACTTTAACCAAATGTCTGTGAAGCGTTTTCCTGTGCCTCATCTCATTTGATACTCACAGAAGTCCTGGAGTAGGTAGATAGGAGACTCAGTAGAATCCTATTTTCTTTTCATTAGCCAGAAAACAGAGATTTAGAAAGTTTAGAAACTTGACCCAACTGAAAAGAAGTAAGAAATGATGGACCTTGAAATTGACTTCAGGTTTTCTCACTGCACAGAATACAGTCAAACACTACTGCAGTTAAATATTTTACCCTTTGTTCTCCCTGTGTGATCTACAATAATAACTTGCTGTGTTGCTGACAATTATCAGAAAGAGAAGTTGGGGTGCTTCACTGGGCTGGAAAAAGTTTAGCTAAATCAGAAAGCATGTCTAATTAAGCAAGTTTATTCCATCTATACATATAGCATGCATGTGTATATATATGGCTAAGTTGACTCATGCATGCACAATACATATAAAGCTCTCGCTGGTGCCAACTGCACATGTGTGTTTTGATCTGTCATTGTTGATCATGAATTTGCTTGATACATTATAGAGAAAGGGCGAATAGCGATATTAAAATATTTCTTCTAATTAATTTTTTTTCAATGTGCACGAATCCGTGCACCAGGCCTCTAGTCATACTATAAGGACATGGGATTAAATTTTAAAAACCTGGTGAGTTGATGGTCACATTTTTTTAAAACTACCATTAAAAAACCATTTAAGTACTTACATGAAGGTGACCCACAGAAGTTCTCTACTTAATCAACTGTCAGAAGTAAGTTAATGGGGGAGGAAGAACCCACTGACTTAAACTGATGCCTCAAGATGATGAAAGCTTGTCATAACACACACACACACACACACACACACACACATGCATGTGCGAGCACCCCAAATGTTACTTCAAGAAAAATTTAGCAGATGATATTAAAGTCTAAAATGGCAAACAAGATACACTGATACACTTTACTAAGACAGTATGGTTTGGGTTTGGCTTCCATGCAAAGGTCAAAAAAATGATCAAGTGCAAGGTAAGAGAAAAATGGATCCATCAGTTTTGTCATTTCACTAAATCGGTACCCACCTTTCAGATTTGTTTTGACGAATACAACCTTCGATGATTTCTTTCACTTCAGGATCAGTGACTTTATTGAAACTGGCTGGTTTTATGCCCTGGGAGGAAAAAATGGTTTCTAGTTACAAATGAAGCAACTGAAAGCCCAAATCAACATGACTTTTATTACAATAATGGATTTTACCCTAAACTATATTCAAGCTTTAAATGAGATAAATATATACATACAGTATGTCTTTAACAACTTTTTTTTGACAAGGATTTTATCCTAGTTCTACAGATAACAGTGAAAGTTGTAAATAACTTAAATCAACAATAGAGCCAAAATTGCATATTATGTAATATATATGTGCCAATATTATAAAGAAATTAAAATTGTTCTCAAAGTAATTATTAACATGGGAAATTCTCACACTGCAACATTAACTAGGGAAAAAACAAGACCCCAAAATGTATAAATAGTACTACCCCAATTAGCAAAATATAATAAATATTTTTTGAAATCAGAAAAACATTCAATATTATTAAAAGGCTAAGAAGGGCTGCTTTATTGCAAATATTCCAAAACAATATTATTTCAAAGTCTTCTAGAATGGCTAGAAACAATAAACAATCATATTGATGATTTGTTGGAGAAACTAGGTCATTTTTCCTATAGAATATCCCATATTCTGGACATTGGCCTATTTCTTTTTTTTTTTTTAATCTGACTTTTTTAGAGAGAGGGAGGGAGAAACATTGATGTGAGAGAAACAACAATCAGTTGCCTCCTACACACACCACAGCTGGGGATGGCACTAGCAACCTGGGTACGTGCCCTGCCTGAGAATGGAACTTGCCACCTTTTGGTGTATGCAATGTTATTCAAACCAAGTAAGCTATACCAGCCAGGGCTGGCATTATTTCTTATTGTCTACCTACACAAACCTCTGAAGTCAGACTTGGGATCAAAATCCATTAGTAGTGCCCTGACTGGTTTGGCTCAGTGGACAGAGTGTTGGCCTGCGGACTCAAGGGTCCCAGGTTTGATTCCGATCAAAGGTATGTACCTTGGTTGGGGGCACATCCCCAGTAGGAGGTGTGCAGGAGGCAGCTGATCGATAATTCTCTCTCACGGATGTTTCTAACTCTGTATCCCATTCCCTTCCTCTCTGTAAAAAAAAAAAAATCAATAAAATAGACTAAAAATCCATTAGTAGTAGCAATGTGAATATGGATAAGTCACAATCTCTTGATACTCAGTCTCATCATTTATAAACTGAAGATAGCACCATCTTGTAGGGACATAAAGATGAAAGCATGTGGCATACAGCATACATTTAAAAGCAGTACCTATTGGCATTAGTTACTGGAAACAGTCAAACAATCACTCTCCTGGCCTATCCTGAATCACGAATTGGATATGATGTAGACCTCTTTTGAACAATTCTAACACTTTGCTTCTACCCTCCTTATGTCCCTTATAATAAATACTCCCATGCTGTTATTTTTATAGTTATTTGTGAATTTATATTATTGTCCTGCTAAAAATATAAGCTCTTTGTGGGTAGCAGATACTTCTTATTCATCTTTGCTTTCCTTGCAATTTCTAAAAATTTATGCCTTGTAAGAATCAAATACTGTATCTGTTGAACTATATTTTGAATGACCTTTCTTAATCAGGCTTTTAGAACTGAAAGAGACCCTCAGAACTATTTAGCCAATCTTTATTATTCAGGTTTGGAAAATAAGAACCATCTAATAAGTGTCTAAAAATTCTTTACAAACAAATGGATATAGATGATATGTCTATGTTTTCCCAATGATACCAATACAGAGCATTTTATATGACCCCAATAGAATATAGATATACAACATATATCTAAAGCTTGTGTCGTTACAATTGTGTTTAATTTAGCACTGTTATACAGAACTAAACCAAAATTAGGTTTTACTCAGTTTACTTAAACCAACTTCATCATGAAATATGGCAGTTTGTGAAGTAAAAGGAATAAAGTTATACCTACACTAGTTACTTTACGGTATATTTGAGCTGCATTTTGGCACTCAGAATAAGGGTACTCCGAAGTAGCCATTTCCAGCATACACATTCCAAAAGCATAGACATCTACAGATTCATCATAGTGCTCTTCATACATCTCTGGGGCCATAAACTCAGGAGTCCCTACAAGGTAATACCACAACCACACTTTTATTAAAAAGAAAAATGTGTTCACAAAAATTACTTTCCCTTTGCAAAAAGAATTACTTGAGTTAATTTCTACTTCCTAAAATTAAAAAATATAAAATTTGTTGAACACTTGTTATTCTATAAAAATATGCAAATTAACCCTCGTGCCCCCACAAGATGGCTGCCTACAAGCAGGCTGGCAGAGGGGTTAGTGAGGGATGACTAAACAACTGAGCAAGTAGGCTGCATGGGGCAACCAGGCCAGCAGGGGGATTAGTGAGGGATGACCAAATGACTGAACAGCAGGCTGCATTGGGTGATCAGGTCTGTGGGGAGTGGGGCCGTGAGGGGAGACTAGGCCAGTGGGGGGGGCAGTTAGGGGTGACCAGGTTGGTGGGGGAGGGGATGGTGCAGTTGGGGGGCGACCAGGCTGGCAGTGTGTGTGGGGGGGGTTTGAGGCAATTAGGGGCTACCAGGCCAGCAGAGGGGAGCAGTCGGGGGCAACCAGGGCAGATCGGGGGTAGTTGGGGGTCACCAGGCCAGCACACAGTGGCAGTGAGGGGCCATCAGGCTGGCAGGGGGCAGTTAGGGGCAACCAGGCAGGCAGGCAAGCGATTAGGATTGTGAGAGGGATGTCTCACTGCCAGTTTAGGCCGGATCCCCGGTTTTGGGCCTAAACCAGCAGTGGGACATCCCCCAAGGGGTCCTGGATTTGAGAGGGTGCAGGCTGGGCTGAGGGACACCCCATCCCCTGCTCTGTGCACAAATTTTGTGCACTGGGCCTCTAGTATCTATATAAAACACTTAAAGAATTTCATTAACTTTGTGTACTGATAAAGTACAATCTGTAATGCTCAAGATTAGGTCATGATCACTAAAATTTGTTTTTATTTCTCTCCTTTTTAGTTATTGAAAATTTTCATAATTAAATTAGAAAATTAGCTTTCTTAAGTCCTTAGAAACTTTCAATAATTTAAAATATATCTCACAAAAGAAAAAATACAGTTGGATATCTCAAAAATAAGGCAACATATAATATTTCAAAACAAATTCACATACTAGGCCAGAGGGCAGCAAACTGCTCCATTAAGACACAAATGGTAAATATTTCAGGCTCTGCCATTATACGGTCTCTGTCACAACTACTTAATTCTGCCATTGTAGTACAAAAGCAACCACAGAAAATACACAAACAAGTGGGTATAGCTGTGCTTCATAGAGCTTTATCTATAAAAATAGACAGCAGTCGAAACCGGTTTGGCCCAGGGGATAGAGCGTCGGCCTATGGACTGAAGGGTCCTGGGTTCGATTCTGGACAAGGGCATGTACCTTGGCTGCAGGCACATCCCCAGTAGGGGGTGTGCAAGAGGCAGCTGATCGATGATTCTTGCTCATCGATGTTTCTAACTCTCTATCCCTCTCTCTTCCTCTCTGTAAAAAATCAATAAAATATATAAAAATTTAAAAAAATAAAAAAATAAAAATAGGCAGCAGTGCCAAATTTGGCCCATGGGCTGTAGTTTGCTGCTCCCTGTTCTAGACAAATACAATCAACAACTCTCTTTACCCAACCTATCAACTAGAAAATGTTAATCACCAATGACACTTTTAGCAAATGATGTGCGCATTAAGGTAGCCAGGCCTAGATCACCAATCTTCACCGATCCAGTAGGTCCCGTGATGAAAATATTGTCACATTTGAGATCCCGGTGGATAATAGGAGGAGTCCTAGTGTGCAAGAACTGCAACCCCTTTAAGATTTGCCTGCACCAGCTCCTTAGGACCTTTGGTTTCATGACTTTAAATCGCTTTAAGTACCTATATAAAGAAACAAAAGACCACACGTTAATAAACATACCTAACTTACTATATGAGCAGTATTAGGGTAAATCACTTAAGCTAGCAGAAATTATATGTGCCATACTACTATTATCATCACTAAGTTGTTGGTTTTTTATTTATTTATTTAAAATATATAGTTGTTGTTTTTTTTAATTTCAGAGAGGAAAGGATAGGAAGAGAGAGAGAATCATCAGTGATGAGAGAGAATCATTGAACAGCTGTCTACTGCATGGGGATCGAGCCTGTAACCCAAGCATATGCCCTGACTGGAAATCAAACCGTGACCTCCTGGTTCATAGGTCAACGCTTAACCACTGAGCCATGCCGGCTGGGCCCCAAGTTGTTTTTTATTGTCTATTATGGCAAGAAAATTCTACCTCTAAGGCCTCATTCTTAGAAAAGAATCCTACCAAGTTTAGTATTTTTAATTCAAAACAAGAATCAGCCAAAACCAGTTTGGCTCAGTGGATAGAGCGTCGGCCTGCGGACTGAAAGGTCCCAGGTTCGATTCCGGTCAAAGGCATGTACCTTGGTTGCGGGCACATCCCCAGTAGGGGGTGTGCAGGAGGCAGCTGATCGATGTTTGTCTCTCATCGATGTTTCTAACTCTCTATCCCTCTCTCTTCCTCTCTGTGAAAAATCAATAAAATATTAAAAAAAAAAAAAAGAAAGAAAAAAAAGAATCATTCCAACCAGAGTGGCCTTTTGTGAAATGGCAGCACAATTTTAGAAAGAAAGTCTGTCTCGCCCTAGCTGGGTTGGCTCAGTGGATAAAGTTTCAGCTTGTGGACTGAAAGTCCCAGGTTCAATCAATGATTCTCTCTCATCATTGATGTTTGTATCTCTCTCACTCTCACCTCCTCTCTGAAATCAATTATATATATTAAAAAGTCCACTCCCACTTCCTAATAAGTGTTTATATAGATCACTAGAGGCTTTCACTTTGTAAAATTTTAGAGCAAGGATGCCAGGAAACAGGAAGTATACCCCACATTTCATAGTTACAAATAAGTGATTAAACCATCAAATGAAAAACTAGTCAGAAACAAAGCAATGGACTATAATCACATAGTAATAAGCTCATTAGATATGTGAACCTGGCCAATTTTTCAGTATCTTTTACACATTATATTATTTCTATGGTTTCTAATTCTAAAATCCTATGCTACCCCACAAATAATCTCACAACATTGTATTTTCTAACAAAATTCATTATCATAATTTTTAACCTGCTCTGATACATAGTCTCTAAATTCAGATTCTACAAATTTTTAAAAAAATATATATTTTATTGATTTTTGTACAGAGAGGAAGAGAGAGGGATAGAGAATTAGAAACATCAATGAGAGAGAGTCATTGATCAGCTGCCTCTTGCACACCCCCTACTGGGGATGTGCCTGCAACCAAGGTACATGCCCTTGACCGGAATCGAACCCAGGACCTTTCAGTCCACAGGCAGACGCTCTATCCACTGAGCCAAACCGGTTTCGGTTACAAATTCTTTAATCAATTACTGTTATTTTACAAGCAACTTTTATGGCTCTGAAAATTATTTCCAAAAACTATGACCATTAACACTATCAGGATCAACTTACGTCTTTAATGTCCCTGATGTCATAAGTTCAGTCACCAATACAATGCATTTTTTTCCTTTCAATGTAGACTCCCACGAATCATAAAATCGAACTATATTGGGGTGCTGGAGCCCCTTTAACATCTCTGCTTCTTCCTTAAATCTCTGCTGTTCAGCTTTAGTTAATTTCCGATCCTGAATGAAGAAATAAATTCCAAATTAAAGTGTGGGAATTCTCATGCACATTTTTAATACCACTCAAATGAGTGCTTTACTTTATTGTACTTATTTATATATGTACTTATTTTTACCTGACAATTTTTTTCTATACAATCACTGATACACATCCCTTGTTAGTGATTATGACTCCTCCCATACAGCAATGCAGCAGTTGCTGCATTTAATAACTGTTATAAACCCACTTGCATAATAAACCAATACCTTGAAAAACATATCTTGGAAGTTAACTTTTTATGGTAATCATTTTTTAATATATACATATAACAAGTCATTACGTTGTACACCTTAAACTTATACATTGTTATATGTCATTTATATCTCAATAAAACTGTAAAAATAAATAAAATTTCTGTTGCTGGAAAAGAAAGAAGGAAATCCTACCATTTGCAACAATATGGATAGATCTTGAAGGCATGCTAAGTGAGATAAGTCAGACAGACATAGACAAATACTGTACAAGCTTCTTAAATATTTTTTAAAAGTATATTTTATTGATTTTTTTACAGAGAGGAAGGGAGGGGAAGAGAGAGTTAGAAACATCGATGAGAGAGAAACATCAATCAGCTAACCCCTGCACACACCCTACTGGGGATGTGCCTGCAACCAAGGTACATGTGCCTGACTGGAATCGAACCTGGGACCCTCGAGTCTGCAGGCTGACGCTCTATCCACTGAGCCAAATCAGTTCACGCCTTAAATATTTTTAAAATAAAATTAGTAAGTGACTAAATCTTAACTGTTCTCAACTCAATAAAATGATAATTATGTGACATGATGGAGGTGTTAGCTAATGCTATGGTGACTATCATACTGCAATAGATAAATATATTACATCAATACACTGTACACTTTAAGCTTATCATATGTCAATATTATATTTCAATTGTATTTCTGGAAAAAAAAACTTAAAAAGTTAAGGAACTCAAAGGAAAAGTAAGAAATGCTAAACTTAGGAGATGTCTAAAAACAAGTGTTTATGATTTTCTGTCTAACCTAACATGACAAATAAGTCCTAACTGTCCCTATAATTAGCTAGAAGTCTTTCCATTGTGTTAGGTCAGCAGATCTGATCTGAAGAATAATGAACACATTTTGATGCCCTCTGATGAAATTAGCAAGCACAAGTCATGTGCCAAGATAAGCTACATACTTCACTTTATCCTTTGATCCTATGGATTAAAAGGAGTCAGCATTCAGGGTAAACAACTTTACAAAGTTGTAACTGCTGTCTCAGACATATTACAAAAGGTAAAATTCCACTAAAAAGGTATAGCCAAACCCTGGCCAGTGTAGCTCAGTTGGTTGGGCATCTTCCTGTGCAAGGAAAAGTTGCCAGTTCGATTGTGGCCGGGTTATGGGCTTGAGACTAAGTAGGGGGTGTGCAGAAGGTAGTGGGCTCATTTTCTGCTCTCACATCGATGTTTCTCTCTCTCTCCATCTCCCTTCCTCTCTCTCTAAAAATCAATTTAAAAATCTTTTTTAAAAAAAAGTATGGCCAAGGTCTTCAAAGATCCATTCTAATTCAGAGTGGAAAGTAAACCTGTCAAATTCACACCCAAATCCAGAGGAGTGCTTTCAGCTACTATAATAATTCTCCTTTAAACTCAAACTCCCTCTCTCTCTCTCTCTCTCTCTCTCTCTCTCTCTCTCTCTCTCTCTCTCTCTCTCTCTCGTATTAATCAGTAACTTTCACACATTGCCAATGAAGAGTTCTTACACAAGAAAGGAATGATGACCCACAAATGGCAAACTAGAGATCACTGAAAGATAATGGAGTTGACACAGTCAGAAGCTAGGAAAATTACAGTCTACAAAAATGATCCTTTAATCTTACTGTCTCTAGGTAATGTCACCCTTCAACCCCCCAAAAAAGCATCAAATATCAATGTTTTAGTGTTATAGATATTAATTTATATGGCTGATAAATATAATAAGAGGTCAAATACAAATTCACTGAATAGATTTCAACTACTCCAACACTACTTTAAAAAGAATTACTGTCCTTCTATGAATGTTAACTAAATACTTAATCTATCATAATATATGGCATGCTTAAAAGGTACACAAAACCTTTCCTGAGGCAAGGCACAATACCAACATGAGTAACCTGCATATGTATTTATTCAAGATAAGAAGCATTTCATTTCCAAAAGGTAAACTCTGGCCTTATCAGCTATGTCTTAATGCAAACACCAACAATGAAGTACAGAATCAGGTCAGAGGGCACATGGATACGTTTCTGCAAACGCAAGAGGAGGGAGAAATCAACATATTCTAAAGGCTGTGCTACAAAAGAACTTGTTCAAATGAGGATGACTACTACGAAAGTTTCAAAACACACCGTTCACTTTACAAAGCAGTCTGTCAATGCCTAGCCTGGATATATATGACATTGCTCAGTATTTTATCGCTGTCATTTAATGACCACTCAGACATGTATCATAGGCTTTATAAGCATGATCTCTAACCCTTAAGATTTTGTTTCTCAGGCTGAGTATTAAGTACACAAGCTGCACTGTGTTATTCTTTAGTATTTTTGTATATCAGAAATATTCGTTCTTTTTAAGTGAAAAACTAGGGCTTCAAAATGTGAAGTAGCTTAGCTTGTCCAGGGAACCAGGGCTGCCATATTCTGAAGCCCATGCACTTTCCAGGTGATCACTCTGCCTCTCAGAAACAATATTCACAGCAAGGACTGCAGATACCTCACTCACAAGCCACTTGCCATGGAGAGACTAAGTAGCACCCCAGAACTACAGTCAAATGAAATAAACACACACAAGGGCAATGGCAGCTAGTAAATGGTAACACCAAAGAATTAATCAAGAAATCAGCATATAGCCGAAGCCGGTTTGGCTCAGTGGTAGAGCGTCGGTCTGTGGACTGAAAGGTCCCAGGTTCGATTCCGGTCAAGGGCATGTACATTGGTTGAGGGCACAGCCCCAGTAGGGGGTGTGCAAGAGGCAGCTAGTTGATGTTTCTCTCTCATCGTTGTTTCTAGCTCTCTATCCCTTGCTCCAAAAAAATCAATAAAATATATTTTAAAAAATATATTATATCAGCATATAATAGAGTCTGGCTATCCAATATAACAAATAGGTAATATGCAAATTGACCATCACTACAACACACAAGATGGCCTCCCCCATGTGGTCAAAGATGGCCATCCCCATGTGGACACAAGATGGCCATCACAAGACGGCCAGCAGGGGAGGGCAGTTGTGGGAGATCAGGCCTACAAGGGAGGGCAGTTAGGGGTGACCGGACAGGCAGGAGAGGGGAGTTGGGTGCAAGCAGGCATTCAGGGGAGAACCCAGGCCTGCAGGGGAGGAAGGTTGTGGGGGAAGGCTTGCAGGGGAGGGCAGTTAGGGGCAATCGGGCCAGCAGGCAGAAGTGGTTAGGGGCAATCAGGCAGGCAGGCAGGCAGGCAGGCAGGCAAGCAGTTGGGAACCAGCAGTCCTGGATTGTGAGAGGGCTGTCCAACTGCCATTTAGGTCCGATCCTGGATATCCCTCAAGTGGACCCAGACTGAAGAGGGTGCAGCCTGGGCTGAGGGACACCCTCCCCTCACAAATTTCGTGCACTGGGCCTCTAGTATATGATAAAAGGATAGCATCTTAATAACTTTCATATTTAGGAAGAGACCACATAAAACAGAGGTAATTCCAAAGATAAATGTAGAAGGAATGTGGGAAATAAAAAAAAATCACCGTTCTAATACCACAGTAATACTCACTACAGGGAAATACGCCAATGAGTGCCAAAATAACGGGAAAGTTTGAGGAAAAACAGATATCTGTAAAGTTTCAAAGTATATACTCCAAGATATTAATATAAAAATATGCATTTAATAGTATAGAAAACCTATCATATGCTACCCTACCCAAGTGATCCAAGTCGACACTATATACCCACTACTATAATGCACTGAGAGAGGCATTATCCCTCTTGTGGAATCCATGCCAAAATTCATAGCCGACATCTAATCGTGAGGAACCATAAGACAAACCCAAATTAAGGGACATTCTACAAAATAGCGAAACAATACTCTTCAAAAGCTCAAGATCATGGAACACAAGGAAAGAGACTAAGGGGACATAACTAAATACAATGTGGGTCCAGCCAGCATGGCTCAGTGGTTGAGCACTGACCTATGAACCAGGAGGTTCTATTCCCAGTCAGGGCACATGCTCAGGTTGTAGGCTTGATACCTGGTGTGGGGTGTGCAGGAGGCAGCTGATCAATGATTCTCTCATCATTTATTTTTCTATCACTCTCTCCCTTCTCTCTGAAATCAATAAAAATAAAAGCAATATGGGATCCTGGATTGAATCATAGCATTAAAAAAGGATATCAGGCCCTAACGGTTTGGCTCAGTAGATAGAGAGTCGGCCTGTGGAATCAAGAGTCTCAGGTTCGATTCCAGTCAAAGGCATGTACATTGGTTGTGGGCACATCCCCAGTAGGGGGTGTGCAGGAGGCAGCTGATTGATATTCCTTTCTCATCCATGTTTCTTTTTTTTTTTTTTAATATATTTTATTGAGAGGGATAGAGTTAGAAACATCAATGAGAGAAAATCGTCGATTAGCTGCCTTTGCACACCCCCTACTGGGGATGTGCCCACAACCAAGGTACATGCCCTCAACCGGAATCGAACCTGGGACCCTTCAGTCCGCAGACCGACGCTCTATCCACTGAGCTAAACCGGTTTTGGCAAGTCCTTTTTGCATTGTAAGGTAATATATTCATAGGTTGCAGGGATTAGGACACAGACATCTTTCAGGTGCAATTATTCAGCCTAATACATGAATCAATTTGTTATCTATCAAGCACATAGCTCAAAACTAACCCTTTGACATAACTGGGAAAATGAATATTTCAGAGACCAAGTCTGTCTGTCTCCTGCTGCTCTCACCCTGTCATTTTATGAAAGCATCTGCCTTTGGTGTATACT